AACAAAAAAAAAAAAAAAAAAAAAACAAAAAAAAACAAATAATTAAAAATGTTAAAAATTTGGATATGAAAATAAGCAGAAAAAAAAAAACAAAAAAAAAAAAAAAAAAAAAAAAAAAAAAAAAAAAAAAATAAAATTAAATATAAATAATAAGAATAAAATAAAACGCAAGGCGAGAGGCGAAGAAGGGAGAGGGGAGGAGGGGAGCAGGAGAGAGGGGGAGGAAATTGAGACCGGGGAGGTGGGGCGGGGCGGGGGAGGGGGGTCACCTCTGCTCACTCAGGTTTCTATGATGATACTTACTAGTTGCTGTCAGAGGGAGGGGGTTGTTCTCATCGAGGGCGTTCAAGGTAGACATCATTGACCTTGTTGCCCCTCAAGTCACCAGCTGGTCACAGCAAGGCGAGCTCATCCTCACAGCATCTCGGATGGGACAGAGCATCCGCGTCAAACACGAGAAGTCCGTCTTGATGTTTTACTGTGCTGTAGTCCTACCTTCTTTACCTTCTTACACCTTATGTCGTGTTGTTATCGATTGCGATATCATTATCCTGTTGTATCATCGTGTTCTTTGCTCGGCATGTCCTCCTCTTCTCCACTGCTTCTCTCCTCAGCCATATCGTTTCATCGTCCCCTCCTTGTCTTCTTGCCTGCGATCGTCCATGTTCTCTGCTCCTCGTCTCTTCCTCCTCCTGTCTTCAGATCGGTCTCATGTACAACAGGTTCTGGTGTGCGGAATGTCTACGGCACGTTCTCCCTCAGCAGTCTCACCCGCTCCGCATCGGCTGCAAGGAGTGCAAGTCTGTCCACCTGTGCGAAGACTGTATGGAGTCTTCCTTGTTCTGGCGGAAACATGTGAGTTTGAAGGGAGCAGGAGCAGGAGCAGGAGCAGGAGCAGGAGCAGGAGCAGGAGCAGGAGCAGGAGCAGGAGCAGGAGCAGGAGCAGGAGCAGGAGCAGGAGCAGGAGCAGGAGCAGGAGCAGGAGCAGGAGCAGGAGCAGTTGGTGGGTTGGGGGGAAGAGGAGGTGGGGGGATTCAGAGCAGGCTGTGGTGGTGGTGGTAGGAGGAGGAGGAGGAGGAGGAGGAAGAGGAGAAGTGTTGATATTCTTTGACAGAGACTTATTTGCGATGCTTTGAGATTGGCGCGAACGAAGCCAGGAATCAAGACAGAGGAAAGGAAACTGCTGTGAGACTTGAAACACACCGAGAGCAAGCTCTCTGGCTGACTGCTTGCTGTAGACGCATGCTCCTGATGATAGTATCGCAACATGCTGTTGAACTTGAGGATCAGGGAAGAGAACAAGGTGAGAAAACTTGTGGTGGATGTCGGATTTCTGATGCTCGGGGCAGGAAGGTGCAGCCACTGCAAGCGTTTCAGCAGTGAGCAGACAGTGAGCAAACTGTGTGAAAGTGCAGCAAGCTTGCATCTGGGCGAGGAAGAAAGAGGGGGAACGAAGAGTGAGCATGCAGGAGATCGTCAGAAGTTCATCGAACAACACGGACATGCTTGCAAGCTGGATGATTTCTTGAGGTGTTGATCGCAGATTGTGAACATGGTGAAAAGTAACATGTTGAACAGTCTGCAAAGAGAGCCGGCGGACAAGAAGGACGTGTTGCTCTTTCAAAGAGTGGTAGATGAGATGGAGAGGTTGTCATGAGAGTTGGTGATGACTGCTGGTGTCAGTCTGGCCTGTTCATGGAGAATGCGACGGAAGAGGTTTTGCTAAGTTTGAAGCCTTACCTGCAAGAGTACGAATCTCACAGTGAGTGAACAATGTGTGGCTGTAATTGTACACCGTGCTTGAATTGATGACGATGACGATGACGATGACGATGGTGGAGGAGGTGGTGATGGTGGAGAAGGAGGAGGAGGAGGAGGAGGTGGTGGTGGTGGTGATGGTGGAGGAGGAGGAGGTGGTGGTGATGGAGGAGGAGGAGGAGGAGGAGGAGGAGATGATGATGATTGAGACATTGAAGATGACGACGATGTTTGCTGATGTCGTTTCCTCTCGTTCATGTTCTCTGCCAAACTTTCTCGCACCTTTTATTTCCTTTCTTCTCATTCCTCATACAAACATCTCATCTAGTGCTCACTCGTGCTTGCTCAGAGAATATCCTCTTCGAGCTTCTGCTAAGAGACCGAGTCAACGTCTTCGCCCTCTCGGATGCTGATGGAGAAGAGGCGGGAGAAGCTCATTTTCCCGCTGCTGCGATGCTCAATCACAGGTGAGGACGAGGACGAGGACGAGGACGAGGACGAGGACGAGGACGAGGACGAGAAAGCGAGGGGGGGGGCTGCAGAAGCAGAAGATGTATACAAGGACAACCACAAGGAAGGAGACGGAGGACGAGGACCACGAAAAGAGGAGGAGAAGGTGGACGAGGAAACGTGGAGGAGAAGCAGGAGGAAGAGCAGGAGGGGCAGAAGGAAGTTGAGCAGCAGCAGTTGACGCTGGTGTTTCAGTTGTCTCCCCAACGTGGAGTTGAAGGTGTTGAGAGGATCTCTGCATATTTTTGCACTTCGAGACGTCGAGAAAGACGAGGAGCTGTGCCATTCATACACGTCGCTGATCATGCCGGCAGCGTGAGATCTGATGAGGATGGAGATGATGGAGATGATGGAGATGATGATGATGATGATGATGGAGATGATGGAGATGATGATGCTGATGGAGATGATGATGATGATGACGATGACGATGACGACGATGGAGATGATGACGATATGGTATTCACAGACAGAGAAAGCCCCTGATAGAAAACACTTGGAAGTTTACATGCGCTTGCTTGCGATGCAGAGATCCAAGGTATACAGAAGCTCTGCTCTTCCTCCTGTCACATCCCCAAACCACCACCGTTTTCCTCCTCCTCCTCCTCCTCCTCCTCCTCCGCCTCCAATATCAACACCACCACCGCCTCCTCCTCCTCCTCCTCCTGATTCTCCTCAGTTTCCTCCTTTCCATCCCTTCTCCTCCCTCTCCTCGGTTCTTTTCTGCTCAACTTTACTATCAGTCATCCATCCGTCAAGACCTTCGACAAAACATTCATCTGTGTCTGCGGTATACTATCCCCTCACATCATCATCATCATCATCATCATCATCATCATCATCTCCATCATCTCCATCATCTCCATCATCATCATCATCTCCATCATCATCATCATCATTCTGAAGTTCTTTTCTGACTTGAGGCAGGAGGAGCTTGTATCTGCCCGACCCGATCCAAGCCCAAAGTCGGAGTGCAGCATGAGGAGGGTAAGAAGGAGACTCGAGAAGAAAGACGATGATGATGATGATGAGGAGGAGGAGGAGGAGGAGGAGAGGGTGGAGGAGGAGGAGGAGGAGGAGGAGGGATTATGGTGGTGATGATGATAATGATGCAGATAATGTAGATGATGATTTCGCTGCAGATTCCTCAGACGACTACCAACCTCTTTGTCATTGCAACACTCACAATCTCCTTCCCTTCGTCCTCGAACCTCTCGATGACGAAAACGAATGTGACGGAAGGTAAGAAAACGAGACAAAAGTGAGCAGAGGAATGGAAAATGAGGAAGGGGTGGCGGTACAGCAGCAGCAGCAGCAGCAGCAGCAGCACAGAAGAGAATGAGGAGGAGGAGGAGAACAGGAAAGAGGAGGAGAACGAGGAGGAGGAGGAAGACAGGAAGGAGGAGAACGAGGAGAAGGAGTTTCACAGCCTGGACTAACTGCTTACGTCAGAGATCCAACGATCCTGCGAGGAAGTGCAAGAGCGCGAGCGAGAGAACGAAGTTACATGATGACACAGATGGAGGAAGGAAGAGCGTCCGACGTGTGACGATGGCGAGGGCGAGGTCGAGAAGCAGGACGAGCAGGACGAGCAGGACGAGCAGGAGCAGGAAGAGGAGGGCGAGGAAGGGGAGGGGGAGGGGGAATGATAGGACGAAAGGAACGATGGAGGAGGAGCAGGCGGTTCAACGAGCATGTTGGATGTTCACATTGTTTTCTAATACAACATGTGAGGTTGTATTCGTTGGTAAGGAGGTCAAGGTAAACAAATTCGCTCCAAGTTTGAAAGAGTTTAACAATCAAGCAAACAAGTTGCCACCAGCGGAGGAGTGAACGTTTTTCGAACCATCTTTAACATCCAGGACAACTTTAATTGTACATGTCATAACTGTGATGATAAACTTGTATAAACAGTCGAAACACTCCCAAACATCTCTCGACGTGTTTGAGCTGTCAACAATCAAGATCGGGAGAGATGGATGGTTGTGATGTAAAAGTCTTTATCACCTTCGGTTAACAACAAGTTTCTACATTTTGATCTCTTCGTTGGTCACAGGATTCAACAGGACGCACTTTCCTCCCTTCTCCTGTTATAGGGAGTGAGACAAGAAACACATGACATCATCACGATTTAGAGTAGAGAAATGGAGATAAGGTCTCCTCAATCACAATCATCATAATCATAATCAACAACGAAAACAACACCATTGTAATCATCATTATCATCATCATTATCATCATCATCATCTCCATCATCATCTCAATAATCATCAACATCTCACCTCAATCTGTCTGACGGCAGAAGCAGTGAACGCGTGGGCCTTCACAGTAAGTCCGCTAACGCCCAGCTGGTCTGCTCCCTCGCCTCCAGGCTTGTCGCTACCGATCACCTGCTCTCCCCATCAACCACAAGCACCACAAACTCCCTCCCTTCCTCCCCCCTCTGCAGCTCCACCAACTCCTCCTGCTCCTGCTCCTGCTCCTGCTCCTGCTCCTGCTCCTGCTCCTGCTCCTGCTCCTGCTCCTGCTCCTGCTCCTGCTCCTGCTCCTGCTCCTGCTCTTTTGCCCTCAATACCTTCCTCCTCTCCACTCTATCCCCTCCTTTGCTCTGCCTTTTGCTCCTCTATCGCTCTCGTGCTGCTCTCCCATCCTTTCCTCGTCCCTCTTTGCTCCTTTTCGCACCTTCACGAGCTGCTTTCCGCGGATGTACGAGGTTCCCTTCTTGATGCGAAGCTGCTACATCGTTAGAGAGTGGGAGGGAGCAGGAAGAGAGGGAGGGAGAGAGAGGAAGCAGGTAAGAGGGAGAGAGGAAGAGAGAGTGAGTAAGGAGCAGGGCAGGAGGGGGGCGGGAGGTGAAAGTGCAGGTGAAAGGGGAGGACCTTGGTCATAAATCCCTTCTCCAGGCAGGACTCGTAGGAAACTTCGCTGTTGGGCTCGCACTTGTTAAGGACGGAGATCTTGAGGAGACCGTAGCTCTGCTTCTGATGCCTGCAGCAACCATCACGATCCTCCTCCTTCTCTTCCTCCTCCTCAAACGCCTCCTCCGTTTCCCATTCCCCTCTCTCCCAGCTACATCCTGACTGCTTTCTACACGTCTACTTTTTACAAGGCCTTCCTTCAATGTGCTGTTCCAGCAAAACTCCTGCTGCTGCTGCTGCATATTGTCCTCTACATTGTCCTCCTCCTCCTCCTCCTCCTCCGCCGCCGCCGCCGCCTCCTCCTCCTCCTCCTCTTACCCATCACGTCCAATACCCTTGCCGACCAACTTGGGGAGGCGACGGTAAAGAGGCATCTGACCTCCCTCGAAGCCAGGGCTGTGCAGACCATCAGTACAAGTTGAGACCAAAAGAAAAGGATGAACAAGGCGACAAAGAGCAAGAGGTGCAAGAGCAGGAGCAGGAGCAGGAGCAGGAGCAGGAGCAGGAGCAGGAGCAGGAGCAGGAGCAGGAGCAGGAGCAGGAGCAGGAGCAGGAGCAGGAGCAGGAGGAGCAGGAGGAGCAGGAGGAGACATTCTGTCCATACCGGGTAGGGCGACCAGCACGAGACTTCTGACCGCGCATACCGAAACCGCAAGTAGCTCCCTGACCGGCAGCGATACCGCGACCCTTCCTGGTCTTGGCCCTCCTGCTGCCAGGGGCAGGGGCGAGCTTGCCGAGCATGTTCTCCTCTCCGAGCTTGAACTCAGCGATGGAGGGATCAGCAGCAAGTGCCGCCCTCTTCTTCCAGTCGAAGACCTTCATGCTGAGGGAGGAGACGGAGCTGCGAGCATGAGCACGGGAAGAGGAGGACTGCAGGCGAACGCCGAGGGGGGAGGGGGTGAGGAAGCCGGAGACTGCGGAGAGCGACCCGACAGCGAGCAGGGCGACGCGAACGACAGACTTGAAGTGGACCATCCTGAGAGAGAACGAGTGAGAACACTGAGTAGCAATGGAAAAGATCAGGTTGAACAACTAGTCGATCTAAAGCAACAACTGCTACTGCTACATGTTTCATAACATCTAAAACAGAGCAGATTGAGAACGCATACTTGAGCTACTAAAAACAGGGTTTCTCCAATCATATCAGAGAAAACACTCTGCCTACACTTATATAGAATATGATCGCAATCCGCTCAGCAAACATGATGAAAGCGTTGTGAGGTTCGCTTCATTTCAGTAAGAACGGTGCTCCATCTCTCTACTTCTCTTCTGTTCAGCAACTCATCCCAAAGCTTGAAAAATTCTTTCTCAATACTTCCAAGTCATATAAGACACCTGCTGCTCATAACTACCGCAACATTCTTCTCGGTCTACAACGATATTCTATCAAAACTACCACTTTGTCCACAAATGTCAAACGCAGTAAAAAGTGAGGGAAGTCATCATGCGATGCCATCAAACGTCTCATCAGTTTCTCATGCATAGTCTCATCTTTTGTTTGTCACCCCCTTTCTGCTCTCCTGTTCACATCCTACACCTTTCCCCCCTTTACTGACTGACAAGCTGCATGCAAAGCAAGCTTTCGTTCTTGAGCGAGAAGAAGGTCAAGAAAGAGGAATCAATGTCTTGATCTGTCCAAGTCCCATTTCTTCCAAATTTCCTGTTGGAACGGTCCTTTGAGGTGTTCATCTCTTTTTCACAGTTTCAAGCGCATGCTGTCCTGCATTCCAACTTTCCTCCATGACACGGTTTCTTCTCACAACTTCTTCTATACATGTTCCAAACGTCTCAGCTTCATGTCTCCATCCCTTCTCGCCAAATCTTTCATCTGTTTTGCCTTCTGTACTTGTTCTTCTCCTCTCTTCTTCTTCTCTTGTGTGCTTTTTTTTCTCTTTTTTCCCCCAGCGGAGGCCGACGAACAGGCGGCCACCGCTACCACAATGACTACCCCACCCCCATATTATCACCCAGTACCCGCACCCTCCCATTTCCCACCCTACCCCCTCAGATATCACCCTATCATTTCCTACAAAACTACCCCACTGATTGAAATTCACCCCGAAATTAGATACTACCCCTACCCTACTTTTTCCAACCATTCACCTCTACCCTTTCCTAATAAGAAAGGCTCGTAAAGGACCATCACGGACCCACTGACCACCCCTACCCCCTCTCACCCTCAAGATGTGCATCTCAGAGACCACCCCTACCCCCAATTCATCAGGTGACTACCCTCCAACACCCACCCCATACATTTGAAACTCTCCTTTAGGCGTGTTGAGGGGTGGTTGGAAAACTTCACTCACTATTGACTAAATATAACTAAATAAAATTACCCCATACTCATCGCATAGTTTACTCAAATGAATGCATCTAGATAGTTGAGCTTAATTTTCATAGGGTATGGGGTGGTGATTCCATCGCACGAGCTTTTTTTCCTTGGGGGCGCTTCTGGGGCCAACCACCCCTTACCCCCCACCTACCACCTTTGTTCTGTACCCCCCGTCAAGTAACCCCTACCCCTCCAATAGTAAGCTGACACTTCCGTTACCCATCCGTTCCTAATTGATTTCATGGTAAAAGTACCCCTTCATGCACCACAAATTGATTGAGCTCCAGCCATCCAATCACACCACCCCCTTATATCTGAGACCACCCCCTTGTGAAGCAAGAAAGTACCCAAGGATCCATCCACTCTCAACGGAAATCCATTGGATGCAACGGATAAACTTTCGTTACAAAATCCGTTATCTTGGGAAGGTTTCAAGGTTTGGAGTTTGGAGTTCTTCAAAGTTTCAACTAGTAAAGTTTCAGGGGCTTTACGGCTCGAAACTTTCAAAGTTTCAACTACAATGTTGCGACCGATGAAGCGGAGAAGGGAGGAGGAGGGGGAGGAGGAGGGGGTGGAGGAGGGAGGGGAGGGAGGGGAGGAGGTTCAGCGACCACAGACGGAGCAAGACAGCATCAGGAGAGGAGGAGGCTACGCTGACTGCGACAAAATGAGGGAGGGAGGGAGGACAGAGGACGCAAACAACCCCCATGGACTGTATCAGGCAAGTTTGAACTATCGCCTGCCTCTTCCTCACCTCTTCCACTCCTTGTCTCTTGTGCTTCTCATCCTCAGCTGACTGAGCTGCGATGACATCAGAACGGTACGAAGACAGCACAGGAAGACAGAGGGCAACGAGTGCTGAATGATGATCCCGTATGGTCATTTTGGGAAGGACGTTCATCCGTGATGTGGGTTGCAGAGACGGGCTCACTGGTTCATCGCGCTTCATGGAGGAGCAGCGCAGGGCTACATGTCACAGAAGTGAGAGCAAGCGCTCGATCAGCCGGATGGAGGGTCGTGTCCTGATGTTTGTGCTGGCAGACACGTGCTGCGTTACCAGAAATCGCTCGCTCTAGCATGCAGCCGAGCGGGTTCGCATGCGGAGGGAGGCAGTGCGAAGCTTACATGCATGCTCAGCTCTTCTCCTCCGCAACGGCTCGGATGCTGTTGAAGCTGTGAAAGAAGCCATCAAGGCAAGGACTGCCGTTCTTACTCGTGTCGGTAACTTGGAGGTTCGATCAGGTGATGGAGGACGACAACTGTACCAACGCGGGTCTGAAAGCTTGAGATCCTGTCTTCTTCTCTCTCACTCCTCGTCAGGTTTTGGATCGAACTTGAACATCGACGGTTTCGTTGAATGCGATGCGAGCGTGATGGAGGGAGGGCTGGGAGGTTTCGGAGCGGTGAGGGAGGGAGGAGGGTAGAGGGAGGAAGTGACTCCTGTCAAGGTTGGAGCAGCCCCAGGGATCAAGAATCCTATCGTTGCAGCAGTTGAGATCATGAAAGATGTGAGGAGGAGGAGGAGGAGGAGGAGGAGGAGGAGGTAACGGGGGAAGGGGGAGGGGAGGAGGAGAAGAAGAAGAGGAGGAGGAGGAGGAGGAGGAGGAGGAGGAGGAGGAGGAGGAGGAGGAGGA